AAAAAAAACCAAAAAAAAAAAAAAAAAAAAAAAAAACCACCAGATACAACTTCCTGCTTCTGGGGAAGGTGCCCTGCCTTCTCTCACAGTCGTCTCCAGCGGTCCTGGGAAGCTTTGCAAAGTAGCATGTGCTACCTCCGAACACAGGAATGGTGCCTGGTCCTGCCGCTGCTGCTCCTGCCTCTGATAATGGGACTTCAAGGTAGTTTCCACCAAGCCTGCCTGTGGTTGTGCAGTGAAGGCATGGCCAGCTGGGAAAGAGGAGATGGGCCAAAGCTCAACTCTGGAAATGGGTGGGCTCTTGGGCAGGACACTTCCATGCTGGCAGCAGGGCTCTGGGAAGGCTGGGGAGCATTCTTTAACCCCGGAAAATCAGGCCCCAATTCTTTTCATGAGGAGTCATGAGAAACAGGACGCAGGGAGATGGGGAAGTTAGGCCCTCGGTACTGTAACCCGTGGCTGTTGGTCTGTGACATTACAGAACATATTTTTAAGTCGGAGAAGCTCTCGGCTGAGGGGTGCTCCATTGTTTAGCTGCCGTGTTTTATGTTCAGAAGCGATGTGTCCCGTTAGGTGTTGGGAACTTCGTTTAGGTAAGGAGTCCTGCCCTGAGCTAAAACAAGAGGTAAATGACTGTGTCAGAGACAGCTCCGAATTTCAGTTCCATGGGTAAAAAGGAGTAAAATGAACAAGACCATAGAGCATTTAAAGACTGTGTTGGTGTGCAAGTCTTAGGTAGATGAGCTAGCCCTGTGTGGAGGAAAGTTGACTGATACTCACGCCATGCATCTGTGCCTGGCACTCGTGGCCCAGACTGGCTTTAAGTCTAGGGATGCACTGTCCGCGGGGCCCTTTGTAACTCTACCTACCACCATGGGCTGAATCAGCTCATGGCACAGTATTATGGCCATTGACACCGGAGCTGATATGAAGCATGGGTCCACTGTTGAGACCAAGCTGACTGGACTTAACTTTGTTGTTTGCCTAGAAAGAAGCACCCTTCTTAACTCTAGGCCTTTCTGTCTGGAATTCTGTACACCCTGAACTCATCCTGCCTCACCATGGGCTTCCATTTTCATGCATCTTCCTCCTGGAAATCCTGGGGCTCAGATTGTAGCTTATGACTTACTTGTTTCTATCTTCTTGAGTCAGCACCCTGCTGCTCAGACACAGTGCCGGGAGCATGGTATATACTCAGTAAACAGCTGTGAAATAAATGAATGAGTACCTTCAAAAGCTCCCTTTGGTCCAAATGTCCTTAACTTCGTGAGTGTTTGACTAGCTTCTTCTCTTCAGTAATATTTGTCTTCAGGGTACAGTTTGAGAAGCACTCTTTACAACTCTTCCTTCATCTGTCCTCGGGCTTCCCTAGGCTGTCCATTTCAAGGAGCTGATTCAGAGTGTCCTCTGCTCCTGAGTGGCATTTTGCTCTCTCCCTACAGGTAGAAGGGTACACTGGAAATGACATTATACTGGGAACTAGAAGAGCTCTTTTCTGTCTGGACTCCATCTTGTAGGGCTTTTTAAATTTTTTTCCTCTACTCTAAAATGGGCATGATATCATACTTTCTGTGTCTATGAGGAACTTCCAGTCAGACTCAGTTTTAAAATGTGAAGATGCACTGAGGTCACACTTGTAGCCTGAGGCAGATGGGAGCAGGGGATACACATAAATGAACTCTCAGGCCCCAAACTCTTGCCGGTACCTCAGACCTGAATTTCTGTTCTTCTTTTAAAAAAAAAAACAAAAAACTGTCTACTCTAGACTTTCCAGATCTGTGTTCAAAATTTGACTCACCATTTTTGTTCTGACTTTTTTTTAAATAGCTGTTTAGCGAGCCCCCAAAGCACTAGTGTCAAAAATAACAGCTACAACTGATTTCACTCATGAGTTGGAGGTGGGTTCCGCTAGGTACTTTTCATTTAAGGAGGCTCTCCTATTTGTAGTGGGACCATGGTGGAGTCTAGGGTCATCTGAAAGGCATTTTCATTCACATGGTTAGTGTCTAACTGTAGTGCCTCCTACAGTCAGTAAAAACAAACCAGCCAATGGTGCCTATTATTACTCACCTAGCTTTGCAAGTCACACCTCGGCATTCTGTTCACTAAGGCAGTCATGAAGGCCTATCCAGCTTCGAGAGGAGGGGACACAATAGTTATTGTTCTTTTGAGACAGGGTCTCTTGTAACCCAGGCCGGCCTCATGTTTGCTGTGTAGCTGAGAACAACCTTGAATTCCTAATCTTACTGCGTCTGCTTCCCAACTGTTGGGATTACAGATTTGAACCACCATACCTGGCCTCAAGGGGAAAGGACCAGAAACCCATTTACTGATGGGAGGGGTGATAAAAATAAAAATTTGTGGAATAGGGCTTCCAACAGTCAACCACTCTATCACTGAGCTATATCCTCAGCTCCAGCTTAAAATAAAGATCCCCATACCCAAGTGTGGTGGTGCATGCTGTTAATCTCAGCACTCGGGTGGTCCAGGCCAGCTTGGTACATAAAACAAGTTCCAGGATGACCAGGGCTATGTAATAGAAAGGTCCTGTCTTAAACAAGCAGGAACAAAAAAAACTAACTAAAAACAAAAGCCCTTCCATAGTTTCTGTCCTCCCCAACTTTTCTGTTCTTTCCTTGCTATCTGCCTTGATTAATAGCACGTCCATCTGTTCAGTTTCTCAAGCTAGAATTCTAGCAGTTATTCTCAGTCCTTTTCTTTGCTTCTCACAACCAGACACATGCTAGTCCATCTACCATTATCTTTCCTAAGTGGACCAAACGACCACTTTCTGGTGTTGACCAGCAGTAGCACTCACCAATCCTAATTGCTCTTTTGGGTCCATTCTCTGTACCTAGCTGATTTTGAATACTGCTATTTGTGTAAATTTTCTAAAATAGTTATGCTTATTTTGCCTTTTTTTTAATGTGAGATGCCTCAATAGCTGCTATGGCTAATGAGAGAGCTCAGATTTTGAGCATGAAGTCTATACATCCTCTTGCAGTCGCCACCTGCCCTCACCTAGCCTGAGTTCATCTCATTTTAAATGAATCCTGCCCCCATCATCTTTAAATGCTGGATGCTGTTATTAGTGAATTGGATCATTAGAGTTATGAAAAGCCACCCTAACTTTGGCCTCACCTTCTCAGAGCAGCCTGTATAGAGGACAAAGAAGGAGGAAGCTTTTGCTCTTTGCCTGCTGGCCCTCACTCTTGCTGGCAAGTCCATTTCTTCACTGATATTAGAGCCCACTTTTTCAGGATTCTTGTTGTGTGCTGAAGGCCAGTTGAGGAATTCACCCCCATGAACTGAGTAACTACTGGGTTCTTGGACACTCTGTCAGAAGACAGCCATTGTTGGACTAGCTGGTCTACAGCCTGTGAGCCACTCTAATAAATCATTCTATCAGTTCTGTGATTCTAGAGAACCTTGACTCGAACAACACATTTAAGCCATTTCAGTCCCTAAATCAAGCAAACAAAATAGAAACCTCTCTTCTCCTTCTATGTCTTTTCACACGTTTTGGCCTCATTCCCATTCACACTGTAATATCTTGAAAGGATGGCTGGTATCTGTTTTTCCTCTCGACATTCAGAATCCATGTCAAATCAGCCTACTAAACTCATTATATTCCCTGTCTCAGAAAAGATCGCCCTGGGTATTGTCACCAAGACCTAAATCTAGGCTCTTAATATCTATTGGCAAATTAGTTCCTAAATGGGTTTATATAGGCATGTTAAAGTTTGGTCTCATCAGAGAGCTCCAAGTGGCACCACACCAATGCCTTCAATACTCATCTCCATTTCTTCTTTAAGAATTTTGCTAAAAATACAAGATTTGTGGTTTTATTAATCAAAATTTTTTCTTTAGAACATTTTCTTTTATCTGAATAATGCCTTCGTATGAGATTATGACCCCCCATGTGTGTGTGCGTGTGCGTGTGCGTGTGCGTGTGTGTGCGTGTGCGTGTGCGTGTGCGTGTGCGTGTGTGTGTGTGTGTGTGTGTGTGTGTTTATGATTTAAGGGTCTCACCATGTAGCACAGGATGGCCTTGAACTCATGATTTTATTGAGTCAAACTTTCAAGTGCTGGGATACAGTCATTTGCTATCACAACAGATATAATTATGCTTTTCTGACAGACGGGTGACATGGATGGATAGAGGCAGGGTTATTTCTATCTCTATTATAAGCTACAGGAAAATACTGTTACTTTGTCTTAAGTATCTAGACACACCACCAACTGCTTTGTCATATTACATTAAAACCAACGGCCATCATTGCCTTTACTCTCTTGTCTCTTCTAAAAAATTAATCGTAGCCATTAAGAAAGTACAGCAAGACTTTAGCCACCCACAGACCACTTCCTTGTTTTTGCAAGCAGCCACACCCAGTGCCTAGGTCAGCCTTTTCAGAATTGTTACAAGCAGATGGTTGAGGAGGAAGATGCAACATCCTGTTCATGACTTCTCGCCACTCTCCACGTGGGAAGGGTCTAGGGCTCATTTTCCTCTGTCTTTGTATCACAAGATTTTCCATCTCCTGAGTGTACATATGGTTTGTCTGAGAGGCTGTCGTGGGTGACTTAAGTTAGTTCTTCATGAATGAGGGTGGGGAACTTTTGTCCCAATGCCTGAGGCACTTTTGGTTATCCCCCCAATAAGGAAATGCTACTAGTGTCTGGTGGGCAAAGACCAGGGTTACTCAGAACCTTAGATTCTTGGAATCACAGAACAGACTCCTCCTTTACTAAAAATGTGTGTCATTGGCCCCAAATATCAAAATATCAATAGTAAATCACTGACCAAAGCCACATATTAAAATCCCATGGATAGCCGGGCAGTGGTGGCGCACGCCTTTAATCCCAGCACTCGAGAGGCAGAGCCAGGCGGATCTCTGTGAGTTCAAGGCCAGCCTGGTCTCCAAAGTGAGTTCCAGGAAAGGCGCAAAGCTACACAGAGAAACCCTGTTTCGAAAAACCAAAAAAAAAAAAAAAATCCCATGGAAATAAGAATGAGAGCAAATGCGGAATGTATATCCAAAGACTTAAAATCCTGGACATGGTAGCACATGGCTATTATCCCAGCATTTGGGAGGCTAAGGCAAGAGAATCTGTCATTAAAGGTCATCTTTGACTACATAGTGAGTTTGAAGTCAACCTAGGTTACATGACACTTTATCTAAAAACAGCTAAGACAAAAAG